CAAAATGGGGTTGCGGAAAGAAAGAATCGTCACTTGTTGGAGGTTGCTCGATCGATCATGTTTACTAGTTTAGTCCCGAATTCCTACTGGGGGGAGGCAATCCTCACTTCCACATATTTGATTAATCGACTACCTTCAAAAACACTTCAATTCCGAACTCCTCTAAGTGTCCTTCTTGATCATTTTCCAAATGTGAATCTTTTCAATTCTTTGTCCCCAAGAGTGTTCGGATGCACTGTATTTGTCCATAACAAACAACCAAATAGGAGTAAGCTTGATCCCAGGGCTTTTAAATGTGTCTTTGTCGGATATTCTCCAACCCAAAAAGGCTACAAATGTTATTCTCCCTTTCTCAAGAAATTTTTTGTCTCGTGTGATGTAACTTTCTTTGAGGATCAACCATTCTATCCCACCACTCGTTTCCAGGGGGAGAATGCCAATGAAAACGAGCATTGGGATCCCACTGTATCTCTTCCAATATTACAAGATGTGTCACAAGAGGCCTCTAGTTCAGCCTCTAGTTCACCACCAGAAAACTCGAGTCCAATTCCTGTCCCTAATCCTAGTTCGAGTCATGATCAAGAGATGGTGCAGCAACCCATCTCTGAGAGACCATTTCAGGTTTATTCTAGAAGGCCAAAAGCTTCTCAACAAGTCCAATCATTGAACCAAGAATCGGATCCTGGTGAAAGCAGTGACTTGAACGTGCCAATTGCAATACGGAAAGGGGTAAGAACATGCACAAAGCACCCTATCTACAATTTTCTAACCTGCACAAAGTTGTCTTCTGGATTTAAGGCTTTTACAGCGAAGATCGATAATGAGAGAATTCCCAAAAATATCCATGAAGCCATTAAAGATCCAAAGTGGGAGAAAGCCGTGCAGGAGGAAATGAGAGCATTGCACGATAATGAGACTTGGGAAGTAGTTGACTTACCAAAGGATAAGAAAGTAGTTGGAAGCAAATGGGTCTTCACAGTGAAATATAAAGCAAATGGAGAAGTAGAGAGGTATAAGGCTCGATTAGTAGCTCAAGGCTTCACACAAACATATGGGATTGATTATGAAGAAACGTTTGCTCCTGTGGCCAAACTCAACTCTATCCGGGTTCTTTTGTCTCTTGCAGCCAATCTGGACTGGGAACTACACCAACTTGATGTGAAGAACGCTTTTTTGAATGGCAATCTTGATGAAGAAGTGTATATGAAGATCCCACCTGGATTCGAGTCAGAAGAGGAACAAGGAAAAGTTTGCAAACTGAAGAAGTCATTGTATGGTTTGAAACAATCTCCACGTGCATGGTTTACCAGGTTCAGTTCTTCTCTCACTCGACTGGGATATACTCAAGGGAAGGCTGATCACACTATCTTCATTAAAAGAGGAGAAGGTGAAAAAAGGGCCATTCTTATTGTGTATGTTGATGATATCATACTCACAGGTGATGATACTGTTGAGATTCACAACCTCAAGAACCAATTGAAGGAAGAGTTTGAAGTTAAAGACTTGGGACCCCTGAAGTACTTTCTCGGTATGGAAGTTGCTAGAAGTAAAGAGGGTATCTTCATTTCTCAAAGGAAATACACTCTTGACCTACTAGAAGAAACCGGGAAACTGGGGTGCAAACCGGAGGGAACTCCACTTGAAAAAAATTGGAAGAGCAAGATTAAAGATGATGTGCCTTCTGTGGATATAGGAAGATATCAACGGCTGGTTGGTAGGTTGATCTATTTGTCTCTCACACGGCCTGACATTGCTCACGCTGTAAGTGTAGTAAGCCAGTACATGCACTCACCTACTCAGAGACACCTAGAGGCTGTGAATCATATCTTGAGATATCTCAAGGGTACTCCAGGAAGAGGATTGATGTTTCTGAAAAATGAGAACAGAAATATCGAAGGGTATGTTGATGCGGACTGGGCTGGAAGTGAAGATTGTAAGTCAACTTCGGGATATTGCACCAAGCTATGGGGTAATTTGGTTACATGGAGAAGTAAGAAACAGACGGTTGTGGCAAGGAGTAGTGCTGAGGCAGAATTTCGGGCAATCGCACAGGGAATTTGTGAGGTTATATGGCTGGAAAGATTAATGCAAGACTTGCAAATCACAGTTTGCTCTCCCACCAAGGTATATAGTGATAGCAAATCTGCAATTAGCATTGTGAACAATCCGATTCAACATGATCGGATGAAACATGTCAGGACTGATCAAAGCTTCATCAAGAACGAAATCGAAGAAGGAGGTATTGAGTTGTCCTACATCTCAACCCATGCACAAGAAGCAGATATCCTAACCAAGAGTCTACCGAAGCCTAGTCAGGAAAGTTTTCTCTGCAAGCTTGGAATGAGAAATATCTATTCCTAAGCTTGAGGGGGAGTGTTGGAGATTTTGTCAATTATGTGTAAATATTTATTCTTTCTGTTTATTGTATGATTTAGTCAAAATAGGAAAGTATAAATTAGGAAGATATTGTAGGATTGTCTAGCATAATTTAGGGATTTTTTCCTTAACTTTCTCTCTTAATTGCCGTGACCAATGGCTTACTAAGTGTATATATTTCTGACAAGGTTAATGAGAATAATGTAGCAAGAATTATTCTTCTCTCTGTTTCCCTTGTTTCAGTATATAGGAAACTTGGGACTAGAGAAGGAGAAAAGGATATATATAAACTAGCTAAGATAAGAGAAAGGAAGTGTCAGGACTTAAATCAAGTGAGGTATGTTAAGGATGATACGGATCAAGTTCTGACTAGAGATAAAGACATTAGGGAAAGGTAGAGGAGTTACTTTGAGAAGCTTTATAATGATGATCATGCGATAGAGTTTGACAACCTTAGGTCACAAGGAGAACCTAATGTGATGTATACAAGAGGAATCAGAGTCTCGGAAGTTAAAATTACACTACAGAAGATGAAAAAGGGAAAGGCATGTGGGTCATATGATATTCCAATAGAGGTTTGGATGGCATTAGGAGATGTTAGAATTGTGTGGCTCACTAAACTTTTTAATGAGATACTAAAGAAGAAGCATATGCCTGATGCATGGAGAAAAAGTATTCTTGTCCCCATCTTCAAGAATAAAGGAGATGTGATGAATTGTAACAATTATAGGGGCATAAAGTTAATAAGCCACACTATAAAACTTTGGGAGAGAGTTATCGAAAGGAGATTAAGGGCCACAACTACCATCTCACATAACCAATTTGGCTTCATGCAAGGCAGATCAAACCACGGAAGCCATTTTTCTTCTTAGGATGCTGATGAAAAGGTACAGAGAAGTCAAGACGGACTTACATATGGTCTTTATAGATTTAGAAAAAAACATATGATAGGGTGCCGAGTGAAGTTTTATGGTGGGTGCTAGAAAAGAGAGGAGTGCATATGAGGTATATTAAGGTAATTAAGGACATGTATGATGGGGTGGTCACGAGTGTGAGAACTGCTGGAGGCTACACGATAGAGTTTCACATTCGAATCGGCCTTCATCAAGGATCTGCTCTTAGACCTTATCTTTTCACCATCGTGATGGATGAGCTGACAAGTGAGATTCAAGATTGAGTTCCTTGGTGTATGTTTTTTGCGGATGATATAGTTTTAGTTGATGAACATAAGGAAGGAGTTAACCGTAAGTTAGAACTGTGGAGACATACTCTCGAAATGAAGAGATTTAAGTTAAGTAGGGCGAAAACTGAATACATGCATTGTAGGTTTAGTAATTCAAGTAATCAGAGTGATGAAATTTCTTTAGATGGTGTGGAGATTGAGGCTTCTAGGAAGTTTAGGTACCTTGGGTCTATAGTACAGTATGAAAGAGAGATAAAAGAGGATATTCAAATAGGATTAAGGCATGGTGGGTTAAGTGGAAGAATGCTACGGGAGTTTTATGTGATGGCAAGATGCCTATAAAGTTGAAAGGAAAGTTCTATAGGACTGTAATCCGCCTAACTATCTAAGATGAGTGTGGCATAAATGCGCATGTGATGGATGAGTGGCCATATGAGAATGGATCGCATAAGGAATGGAGTTATTTGTAGTAAAGTAGGTGTAGCACCAATAGAAGATAAGGTACGCAAAGGCCGCTTGAGGTGGTTCGGACATGTCCAACGTAGACCGCTAGAAGCACTAGTTCGTGCTTGGGAGGACATTCTTATACCTAATACTAGGAGAGGGAGGGGTAGACCAAGAATTACGTGGACCGAAGTCGTTAAGAAAGATATTTTAGATCTAGGCCTTTAGGAAAGTATAATTTCGAACAGAACTGTGTGAAAAAGTGAAATCCATATAGCCGATCCCAATTAAGTTGGGATTAAGACTTGTTATTATTGTTGTTGTTGTGAAAAATTTAGATTCACACATTTTAAAGGGTGTCTCATTTTTCCTCAATAGAATGATCCAAATTTGTGGGACCAAAGAGTCTTACTCCCTCCAACCAAGGATTCACTCTCTCCCTCGTCCACTCCCTCAACCCCTCTCCATCCCTCCATCTATCTGTTCTACGGAACGTAGTAAGGTTTTAAGGAGGTGCACTTCTAATATGATTGTCTATATAAATTTTTATTTATCATGTAATGGGCATGTTATTATCTCCATTAAAAAATAATCCTCAATTTGTCGGCTAGGGACTAATTAGTACAGGGCTTAACGGACTCCAAAAATTAGGGGATATGATATGGAGATGTACCATAGGTAACTAGAACAGCCAAAAAGAGAATTGACATCTTACTTTTCTCAACAGTTTGAAATTCATCTTATTTAATTTAGTTAACATGAAAATTAGAATTGTAATAGACTTATACAGTTAGTACTTGTCCATCTATACTCATTCACTGCACTAAACCAATGTAGTAGACTAGAGTTTCTATTAGTAACCAAAAAAATAAATAAAACCTAAAGTTTCTAATTGGGGTACTTGTTTAAGTTTCTTTGTTATATGAATACTATGTATGTATGTATCTTTTAAGTTTTATAAGTTGTGTTTAACATTTATTTTTTCCTTAAAACCAAGGGACGGGACGAACGTGAAAGGGTATTTCGTGTGGTCCTTCATGGATTCTTTTGAGTTGATGGACGGCTATGAATCCCGCTTTGGCTTGTACTACGTTGATTTTGACGATTCAGAATTGAAGAGACTCCCTAAGCTCTCTGCCCATTGGTATTCCCATTTCTTGAAGAGAAACAATATCACTTTAGATAGCATTGTTCTATCTCCATCCCGTGATTATATATAAATCATTGTAAATCAATGATATGTGGACACCGTCTTAGGTATTCTATAACGAATATACATGCTTTTTATTAGAAATAATCCCAGAAAACATAATATTGGGTATTACTTTAGATAATTCCATTTTAAAACGTATGTAACTTGTGTGTTCTTCACGTTCCTCTACTTATGGTTCGTACTTTATTTATGGTTTGTATTTTCTCCACTTGCAAGTGAAAGAAACCATAGGAAGTGACTGTTGTTTATATTTAGGATTAATTATAAAAACTCCCTCTAAATTATATTCATTGTAATACTTTATTTCTTAATTTTTAAAACGTAATAACTGTTCTTCCAGAACAATAAATTATTAACAAAAAGCCTCTAATGTTAGTTTTTTTAACAGAAATTGACATTTAATTTACTATTTAAAGGTATTTTAGTAATTTTATGGTTTAAAATTTAATTTGAATTTAAACTAATTTAAACATTAAAAAAAACTTAATAAATTTTTTATTTTACTTTGTAGAATTTTTAACCTACTTTCAATTATTAATTGATGTATCATACTTAAAAGTTTAAATTTAAATTAGTTTAAATTCAAAATAAATTTTAATTATAGAGCTATAAAAATACCCTTAAAATAATAAATTAAATGTCAATTTATGTTAAAAAAATAATAGAGGGGGCTTTAATTTTGTTAACATATTATTATTGATGGAGAATAAATGTTACGTTTTAAATATCATGAGTAAAGTGATATAAGGGGTATAATTTAGGGGATATTTTTGTAATTAATCCTTCTTTATAATATAAATCAGATTTTATTATGCTCTTGTTTGATGCATTTGTAGGATATTAAGAACAAATAGGTACTAATATCCTCTAAATTTTAAGGAATTGCTAATTGACAATAAAAATTAGAGCAGCTACGTCTTTTCTTCAAATATGATGAACTCTAATTTGTCTTGTGAAACGCACTTTCAAAATTGTTCAACTAGACCAATGGAAGAAAAAATGATGTCAATTCGCCTTCTATCAACTTAATGTTGCTATTATTATTTTTATTAGTACTAGTTGAATTGTACATACATCCACGTGGGGAATAATCCGAATGTTAAGTTTTGGTTGCCGTATTATTATTTTTTAATTAATTTAATGATAAAGATAATAATTAATTAATACACAATTGACATAAATATCTTTATAAATATCATCATAAAAATAGAAAAGATTATAAAAGAAAAAGTTACATACAGACACATGAAAAAAAAAATATTTTAATGAGAACACGGTGGAAAAATTATTTGAAAGAAGTACATTAAAAAAGGATTACATTGTAAAGAACTTTTTAGCAAAACGGAAAAAAAAAAAAAAACTAAGCAAGGGCACATGAAATAAATTTATTAATAGGAGCAACGTAAGAGAAAAATAGCATTTTTAAATCACCCAACAAATCAAATTAGAGAGAATGCATGTACTAAAAAATAGGAGAAGGAGATATATTTCTCTTAAAAATGTATGGGTCATGATGACAAATACCTCTTAAAGTGCATGGTTAATAATTTTTACTCGCTATTCTTGATTAATAACTTAATTAGTCAAATAACTATACTAACAAAAGAGTATTAATCAAGAATGAAAGATAAAATTCCAGATTCATTCAGTCTTAAGAGTAAATTCTGCAATTTACTCCAAATAAATAATAGTTGCAATTAAATAAGGTGTAGAAGAAAAAAAATGCGCATCACTAATAAGTTTTCCAAAATAAAGAAGTTTGAATATAAAATTTTTCCAAAAGAAACCGAAATGCAAAATAAATTAATAAAGAAAGTTTTAAGGAAAGCCAAAAAAAAGAAGAAGGGTCAAAAAAGGATTAAAATGAAAAATACAATCTCTTACAGTAAAAGAAAAAAAAAAGTTTTAAGACAAAAAGTAAAAGAAAATATTAAAATAAAAAAAATAATAAGTTCTAAGGCAAAGGCAACAAAAGAATAAGAAAAAAAAAGAGGGAGAACTAAACTGTAAAAAGGGAAAAAAAAGGAAGGGCAAAAACTAAAGAGGAAAAAAAGGGACTCAAAGATAAAAATGAAAGGCAGTGAAGAACTAAAAAATAATAGGACAGCAAAAAAGAAAAAAAAAAAAAAAAAAAAAAAAAAAAAAAAAAAGAAGAAGAGAATAGTGGGCTCCAAAACAACTGTTTTGGTTGAAATTTTTTTACTAAAAGGACGATATTTTGGTTGAAGGGGGAGGCGCATATTGCGCTTTCTATATCTTGTTATAAATTATTATTATTATTATTTTCTTCTATTTAATTTTTGTCAAGGTGATGTTTGCAAAGGATCATGTGCAGCTACAGCTTTTGGCCATCTAAAGTTCAAAAATGAAGTCCATGAATTCAAAATGTCATCCCTTGCAATCTTTGTAGTGAAGACAATGATTGACATGCAAAAAATAAAAGGAAGCAAATAGCATAATATGAGTTTCAATAAAAACAAATAGCATAAAGTTTAAAGATAAGAAGTAAATAATATAATGGGACTTTCTTTGGTACACCAATATATCGGTCGGTTAAGTTTTTTATTCATCAAATCTGCATAAAATCACGTAAAAGTCAAAAATTATGTAGATTTGATAATTAAAAAAATCTAATCTATCAGCACGCCATACGTACTAAAAAATCTCTCTAAAAAAATTTTAATAAATGGGCATTTACCCCTCAATTTTTAGAAAATCACAAATTCATCCCTCAACTTTAGAGAATTATAATTTGACGGGTAAACTAAAGATTTATTCAAGCGCTTACCACTAGACCAAAAGCTATAGCTTTTAGCCAAGGCACAACTTTATTTACTTAAACCTCATGGCAACGCAAAGCCCCACACTAAGCGGTGGGCAGACATGAGGGGCAGCACACCCACCCCAGAAAATGCTATCAGCCGGCTCGAAACCCATGATACCAATCATTGCCTCCAAGGTTTCATTAAATTAATTAATAATGATTTTGATGATAACAAATAAATTGATTGATTATCTACTAACATTTTTCTTGAGTTTGCTTTATGCTTGAATTGTTCAAGTAAGTAGATTACACAAGAAAGATTGAAATATGTTAAAAAGTGCTCTCAAATTCAAAGCTTGGAATTAGAAAAATGAAGCTTGAAGATTGAATTTAGAGCTCGAAGAAATAATGTACAAGACTTGCTCACACAGGTTTATTTTTACAACTTTAGTCTTGTATTTGATGTTTAAGTACCTAGCAAAAAATATCTCATTAATTTGGCTCAAAGTTTTTCACTAAAAACTGTTTATGCAATTCCTGCGAGCGACAGTTTTACATTCAAATGATTTTTTAAAATTACGAAAAACTGAAGAATGTTTTATATGTATAAACGAAGGCTTGTGTCCGAAATGTAACGACCTCTGATGGGCCGTCACAATTATCTTAACTTTTAAGCATTTACCTCTTAAGGAATGTAGAAAATAGTTAAGCTAAAAACACTTTACATTGAATGAGGAAACTCTCTGTCCACGAGCTCCGTGTCCTCATCCACTTGCCATCTTATCGTAATCGTCTGCTAGTAATTAAATTTTAACTAATAAGGAAACTCCCTATTTCAGGACATCGAATAAGGATTCACACTTCTATGGTTTAAAAACTTCACCTCATAAAAACATACATTTCATCTAAAGAAATTAAATAACTACTTACTTGGAGAATTTTAGACTAAATGTGTGGCAATACAAGATAGGAAATAAGAAACCGCTCTGATACCATTTCTTTAACGATCCCTCACGGACTGTGTCACAGTTATGTTAACTTTTAAACATTTACCTCTTAAAGAATGCGAAAAATAGTTAAGCTTGAACCACTTTACTTTGAATGACTTAAAGAAAACCTAGATTTTTTTTTTAATATTATAACTTTAAAAATTTTAAACTTCCTCAAAGAAAAATAACTTTTAGGTTCAACTTAATTATAAAAATTCATACCGTGAAATAAACTTAAAGCAATATCTAAAGTATTCTTCAAATCAAAACCACCATAAACTAAAGTTCCAAAACAATAAAAAAAATTGAAAACTTTATTTAAAATTAAGCACTTTTATTCCATGATCGTTTCTCCCGTTTTCCTGCCACGCATAGGTCGTATCCGCTCCAAGACTCTCCATGACTATAACTTACCTTTTAGTTCGTTTGCAACATGAAATAACTTATATAAGTAAGGGCTTAGTAAGACACATAAATCTTACAAACGTAAATGAACATTTTTATTCATCAATGTTGACAGTGAAATTTAGTCAACTCAAAATTAACTCCAGGAACACTCGCAGATGTCTCTCAGGAATTAATCAAGAAAAATAGTTGCTGAAAGATAAAGAACACATAAGTTTATAGTGGTTCGACAGAAATTCTTTGCCTATGTCCACTTGTGGATGCACTAGTATAATCAAGATTACAATCTCTTTGAGTAGTAGAACAGTGCGTAAAAAACTGAATGGAGGTTGCAGGCTCTATTTATAGGCCTTTTACAGATCAGAGACCTCATCTCCACTTTGCGAGGGGATCATCCCCTTATCCCTAATATCTCGGGACCTGACAGTTGTATTTCCACGTTTGAGCGACCGAATCGGGGCAATCACCCTTATCGGTTATCTGATTTCCCTATTCGAATCTTGACAGTTATTGCAGCTTATCTCTTCCTGAGATGGCGGGATTTAATTTAAATTTGACCGGGCTACTCTCTCAGCATCGTAAACTTCACGGCTTAGGCGGAGTTCTCGACCCATATCCTCCTCCTGCATGAACTCTCATCGTCTTGAGGGCATTCTACGTACATCCATTTCCTCGACGTCAGCGACCAACTCTCGACTGAGAACGTCTCGGCCCATGGCAGTCAAAGGAGCGGTTGATTGCTCGACCGTGGTGCAACAATTACCCCCAGCCTGGAATATCGCGTTGCGATGTTTCAGGCTATAAAGCATCGAGAGTATTACGTGGCAATTTCTTCCCCTGCAGGTTATGGCGACTGCTTGTTAGTATAGTACCATCATTACAGTGAGTTTTTCAGGAAGTGGAGCAGTCTTGTCGATCATGTCAACAGTCGCGTCTCCCGTACCCTAATGACACGTGGTAGTCGAGGGGAAAGCTGTAACCGTTAGATTAGATTCATCTCTCCCACTCTTTTCTCAGCCGTTAGATCG